CGGGGCCGCCCGGCCGGAGGTTTTGCGGGAGTTCGGCGGCGTCTTGACTTGCAGGTCAAACTCGGTTTTCTCCTCCATATTCGCTCTTTTCTGCTCTCCCCCTCCGCCTCCGCTGTTTTTTTGTGCTGTTCGATCTAGAATGACAGTTGTGAAACCAGGCCTCGAACGAAACGCTGCGAAGGACGGGTTGTGAAGAAACTCTATCTTAAAGCAAAAATGAATGTGCAGATACCTTAATCAAATGAGAGGATGCACCTGGGGTAAAGTGTTGGATTTCTCTTTTTGTATGCTTCATTTTCTATTATTCTTTAATACCAATATTTCAAATGGCGAATAAGGGGTGGTGGGTGAGAGGAATAACAGCCCTCTGGGATCCAGGAGAAGAATAAATGTGCAGATTATCTACGACTGTGTGTAGGTGCACACAATACATACACAAATGTACATACACACACATATAAGATGATACATCATAAAGATGTAAGAAGGATGGGGGGGGGTGTTTTCTTTCTGATCTTTTCCTTCCTCTGCCCATTTCAATGGCCATGCCTGCAGCTAATGCACACTAAGGACGGAAAGACCTACGCTGAAACTCAAGTAGTTGTATTGTTGCCTGAAAACTGTTTTGCTGTAGGAGGGAAACCAAAAGATTTGTAATGGAAATTACAGGATGACACACAGAACAGAATGATTCTGTCTCGCTGTATAATAGAACAGATTTACACCTTTCAGGGTATTTTCAGTTGACATTTTTTCAGATTTTTCCTACTCTTAGGGATGGTGTTCCAGTGAGCTATGTACCCACTCTGAGAATTCCTTGGTATTGTTTTTCTCTGGCTAGACAGCTGTCATCTAATTTACTAGTAATAAAGAACAGTTTTCTATGTCTTCAGCATATATCTGTAAAAACAGCAAAAATCAGACGAGGCAATTTGTACATTTAGAATGAGAGTATAACACATATACCAAGTGTGCGAGTGTGTGTGTTTGTGCGTTGGTGTAAGTACATCATGGCAACGTACACTCTAAAGGGATAGATGTTGCTACAAACTTGACCATTAAAACAAGTGAAAATACAATGGCAATCCTCTAAAAGAATAATTACCGAAAGTATTGTATTTCTACACCAACTACACTTCCAGCACTTAGCACTTTGATCCTGTGAAAAAGTTCTCTGCTGTCAATGGTTCTGATACTGCAAAAAAAAGGAAAAAGAGGAAGAGTATCACGTACGTATTTTCTCTGAATTCATGAAGTTGGTTCTCCTTCGTACTTCTGCTTCTACCACTATGCTCCTTTTTCAGCAGCTCTACAGCCAAAACCAGTTAGGTGACCACCCACAAAATTTTCAATGCAATTGTGATGGGAATATGTTTTTATGGAAAAAAAACAACAAACTGTCCCATTAATTTCACTGGGCATTGCATAGCAATATTTATCCAACTGCTGAAATCATCTTGAATGATCAAGGTTTTATACTGTAGATTTGGATTAATAATGTCATCATGACTGAAAGAAATATATATGGGGAGTTTTCCATCACCACCATAATAGTGCCTGGGTTTAACAAAATCTCATGTTATTTTCACAGGATTGGTTTAGCTACCACTGTGTGTCTGTACTTCAGAAAAAGAAATGTTCTAAGACCCATTCCCACAAAATCCTACAATAAATGTGTAATTTCTCTCAAGTAAATAAATTACATTTGATGTATATGGGCCTTAATTATATCCTCTGTATTATATACAACAATGACAAATACTAGGTCATTCAGCCTTGTTTATAGTTGATTCTGCATACAAATACATATTTAAGCAAAACAGGCTGTTACATATCTATACACATATGTATATGTACACCCCCACTCGAAGTTAATAATTCCTATTAGCTGAAGGGAAGAGAGGAAATAAAATAATAATGATCAACACTATATTTAATTTCCTACAATTGTAGCAGAATACCCCAAACTTTATAATCAATGACAGATTAAATTGCTCAAGAAATAGATTAGAAAACAATTAAAATTGCTATTAAAACCTCAGAACAAAACAAAATAAGTAAGCTCCCCAAATCTTTCTCTTCTAATCCTCTTGAAAGTAATTAAAGCTTTCATTTAGCTACTGGCTTGGAACTGTCAAATATTCTTAAAAAGATGGCCCACGATACTAAATTTTTCTTAAGCCTTTTTGTCACCCTGCTAAATTGCTACCTCTCCTCAATTCATATGGCTGCAGGCACCAGCTTTTATGAAAATACCCATCCTACGATCTGACCTTGCATATGGATCATCAGCGACTGCGCGAGATTAAGCCACGCTCCAGCATGACCAGGTTGTCAGGTCAGAGCTACAGAGTCTGGAAGAAAGGTTCATCTTTGCTGTTGTGCACATCAAGCAACCGCAGATCTGGGAAAGCAGTGTAATAACCACCAACGTGGTACCTAGGTCGGTATTTCCACATTATCTGACCATGTCAGTCTGTCGAACGTTGATGGGCTCCACCTACATCGACAATATTACAAGTAAATATCATTAAAACCAGAAACCCACCTTTCGAAAGCTGTTAAGTATTTTTCTTCTGGAACGTGTAACAGGTGTGACTTTTTCCTGGTCATAGTCATCCATACTTTTGTAACTGCTACCATAAAATAATTTATTGGAGAGCATAATTTGGTGGGATTGAGAAGAAATATGCTCAGTGATTTGGGCCAAATAACAAGCCTTCATAGTCCTTTGTTCCCTCGGGATTTTGAGAGCATACCAAAAGGATATTATTACATTTATTTTACAGTTGCACTGCATTACCTGATATTAGATCATTTTCTAAGCAGGACAGGTGGCTTTACTGCCAGCAAAGTGAAGATGTCATATTGTCACATATAATTTTTAGAGGCAAAAAATGTACCACATGGATAATTAGCTTCAGTCTCCCACGATTCCACATAAACAGATCGTGAAATACTGTTGTGGCAACGTCGCCAAATGTCTCTAGATATATAAATTACACACATATGCCTATTTTTATAAATGAGATTTGGGAATATCAGCAGCAATCGCATGGTGGGAATAAATAGCTCATTTCAGAGGTTGGACTGTATTTGCACTATGTGAACGTCCCATGGCCCTAACACAAATGTGTCTGTATTTAATAAATATCAGTATAACCACAACATTAATTTTCCTTTCACCTAAAGTGCTGGATGAGAAATCTAGTTTTCATCTGTTTCCAAATATTCTGTAGAATATCCAGTTCCTCACTCAGTCTGCATAGGTTTTTTTGATAATCTTGACGCACCGTGTGGCCAGACACTTTGCCCTCTATTTCTTTCCTCTGTGCAACAGATTTAGGGACAAATTCCCCACCTTGCCCCTGAGCCAGGGCCAGTTCCAGGGCTGGCGGTGGCTGCCTTACTCCAGAGGAGTTGCTCTCGATGGTGCGTTCCCGACCGCTGTCATGCTTGGTCGTTCCCCTGTGGAGTGCTCTGAGACCAAATGTCCCTCTCGTTCTTCCTTACTCCGTCTGTAAGGGTGGCTCGCTGGTAAGACACTTGTCAATGTTTTGCCACTGTTTGCAGCCCACCGTTGCTCCATATCCTGAAATAGGGGCAGAGAAGTTGTTTTATGTAATCTGATGTGAACCACACTGCAAAAATGAAAATTCCGTTATTGGCATGTCTTCCTGCCGAAAAGCTAGAAAGCTCCATATATGAGCTACTGTCACCTTGGAAACGTTCAGAAGAGAAATACCAACCGCCTGTAGAAGCGCAATATGTAACTGTATAGCAAACTGAACTGTCCAGTTCTGCTGAGTTTCAAATGGATCATGAGGTGGTACTAAAGAAATTTCACCGAAAGGCCTCTAAATTTAACTTCACAGTAAGAAAACAGCAGAATTTTAATTTATACATGCTCACTCCGCTACCTAGTTTCTCAGAGATGTCTCACTGGTGGTCAGTGCCTACAGCACCTGGAAGAGTAGCATCATCCAGTGCCTTTCTGTAAAACACCTGGAGCTTAAAGCTGCAATAGATTCACTGACTTTTAGTTGATAGACATGAATTGTGGATTGGGAGGTATGAACTTGTCTGGGGAGCCATAATTTAGCATCTTCAGAGGAACTGCAGGTATCTTCTCTCTTCTTGCATTTAGACGGGAGATAAAAATCTAGATTGCCTTTCCCTGGTGACAAATCATCCACCTGACACAAAATCATGGCCAGTGGCCAGGAAATCACGCAGTCGGATGTAACTGGTAGTGTGCACTCCGAAATGGCTGATGCTGGCTGGAAAGGGGCTGTTTTAAAACTTTAATGACAAAACGTCTGGTATTCCTGTATGAAGTTGGATTAGCAATCTGAACTTTGTTCCTGTTCAGAGTGAACACTGTGTCAACATTTCCTACGGAACGACAATTCCACTTTTAATCATCTCGAATGCCAAGTCTCTGCCTGCAGCAGTGGTTAGAATCCGTGACGGTTTACAGCACATTTCCAAATCAGCTATTCTTTTTTGACTCGAGTGCTGGTTAGGTTTTGAGGAAACTGAGAGGTTAAACTCATATTTATTTATTGCTAGAATTACAGTTACCATTTTTTTGGTGATTCTTACGAAAATCATCCAAACAGTTGTAAACTGGGACTGAATAAACAGCCTGAACAAAAATATTACAAAAAACTGAAAATCAGTGGCATTACCAGGTGTTCTTACAAGTGTTTTCCTGAGGGAAAAAACCACGCTTGGATCTCTTACATCCTGGCTATGAGAGTGAGAACTGGCAAGTTCAGAGTTAACAACAGTTACATCTATTCTAGAGCTGCGGAGAGAGCTATACAGTTAATCACTGCATATTTTTAGCCTACATCTTGTAGCTTTAATCCTGCAAATGTCTGTACGTAATTTGTTTTATGTAATATGAATAGACGCCATAAAATCAAGATTCCACCATCTATAGAGCTAAGAATGTCCATGTATTTCTAGAGAATGAGGACGTATAGCAGAAGTGTAGGACAATGCATTGGTCACTGTGAGTAACAGATACTCTGTGCTGGGGGTACCAGTGGAAATAAATACTGAGATTAGCAGCAGGTGCTTACAGAATCACAGCATGGCGGGGGCTGGAAGGGACCTCTGTGGGTCACCCAGTCCAACCCCCTGCCCAAGCAGGGTCACCCAGAGCAGGCTGCACAGCACCGCGTCCAGGCGGGGCTGGAATATCTCCAGAGAAGGAGACTCCACAGCCTCCCTGGGCAGCCTGGGCCAGGGCTCCGTCACCCTCACAGGGAAGAAGTTCTTCCTCATCTTCAGCTGGAGCTTCCTCTGCTTCAGTTTGTGCCCGTTGCCCCTTGTCCTGTCGCTGGGCACCACTGAAAAGAGTCTGGCCCCATCCTCCTGACACCCACCCTTTGTGTGTGCTTATATGCATGATATTAAAAACCCAGACTTTACTTTTCATACCAACTATAAAAGACTACAGAAATATTGCTGACAATTGCGGACCATTTTCAGTTCCATAAATCCGAGCATGCCTTCCGTCTCTGTGTACAGAGCAGTGGGTATTTTGGTACAGAGCTCCGCTTAAAGAGCTGTGCCCCAGTATTTTCATAACTGAATCACTTTGCGTCTTTGAATAGCTGGATTTCTCTAGCATGTCGTTTAGGCCCGGTGCCAAGAATAAGGGGACAAGAATCTGCTTTTCTGTGGATCTAACTGCACTGTTCCTTACCTTCGTCAAGGTAATACGTGGAGTGGAACAGAAAGGAAACCCAGTTAATTACCAATGAAGAGCTAAAACCTGGTAGCTGAACACACGGTAGCAAACACGCAGGTTCAGAAGGTGCCTCTGAAAAACAGAGTATTCCAACTGAGAACATTTTATGAATACAGACATTTAGCTTTACTGTGTGAATTACTGAAATATCATCGAAACACTTGTTCATTTACTGATTTTGTGCATACATGTGACGATTGCTCAAGTATGACAGGGAACCTCAAAACTGCTGAAGCTAGAGGAAGCGTTCAGCGTGACATTAGAAGTGGGCAGCAGGATCAGTACACGTGATTTTGGCTGTAATAACCTTTAATTAGTAACGAATGGTGACATCCTATTGTCAGCATAGTACAGGCTGGGTTCTGAAAATGCGTTTAAGACAGCGCCGTTCTGGACTGAAACTCGGAACAAATCTTTCGCATTCTCACATCGCGTTTCGCAGTACTTCATGTTTTAACCTACACTGTGAAAAATAAAATAATCACCAAGCAGAGGGAAAAACACCCCCGATCCACGTGCCCAGCTGGCTCCCGTCTGCGCCCCCCAGCTGGGGCTGACCCGCGCCCGCCCGCCCTGCGCCGCGCCCAGCGCCGCCC